GTAGGGTTAGTGATTCGAGCTTTGTTTAGTAGTGATCACCACTTTTGCCCTACTCTATAGGTGTCTATTTATCTTTTATACATATATACAATAAATCATACGTATTTACCGATTGATATGAATTTTTTTCTTGAAGTTTTTGTTTCTAATACTGTAATATGTTAATGTTATATAAATAACGAATTGCAGCTTGTGTGATTTGATTAGTTAATAATCACATGTAGATCTACGAAGCTAGCCAATTCGACGAATTTTTGCAATCTGATTTTTCGATCTGATCTCGGAAATATTACACGTAGCATCGGTATTATCACATGATATTATCATATGATTTTTTTGATTTTTGATTGGTTAATAGGCCAGAAATATATAAGTTATATATCTCTAGCCAGAGATGCCTAGAAGAACCCTTTCTTAAATTATCAATTTTAATAAAGCTAGATTTCAATGTTTATGTTTTGTCTATATAAGGTATAATTGCAGCTTAAGATTATTTAGATTGAACATTTGTAAGTAATAATAAAGTTTAATTTAACTTAATAAGCTTAAATAAATAATTTATTTAGAAATATTAATTATATCATTATTTTGATAAATATATATAGGCGTGAGTTGAGAATAAGTTATAATTTTTACGCTTCTATATTATACACACCTATTATAATAAGAAATAAGTAAAATTTAAGTTTAAAAATAATTTTTTTTTAACTATGGATGAAGTTGAGTCTGATGAAGATGGTGATGTATTAAATAGTAAGAATGAAACAGAATAAAGAACCATTTCTCAACATATTGGTGATGAAGAATATCTTTCAAGTAATGATAATTATTTAGATGATATGATAGCAAACGATCTTTCTGCATCTGATAATATAATAGATAATGAGATATTGCCTAGTAATTATATACTATTACCAATACATAAAGTTGTTAAATTAAAAGGCAAAATCTGGAATTATTTTGATCTATTTCAAGATAAAAATAATCTTACAAATACAATTGGTCACTGTACTATTGAAATAATATATAACAATAGACAAGTGAAATGTAATAAATTATTGTTACAGAAGGAGGATCTATTAGAATTTTTTGGATCATTTGAATGCTATTTATGGAATTACAAAAGATAGCAATACAAAATTTTCTAAATCAGATCAACAAAGTATTAAGTATATCTTTTAAAAAGCAAATAATTAAAGTCCTTAACAATGAAAATTACAAAATCAAACTTTAGTAGAATTTATTATTGAGGATAATCAGTCATTAAATATATTAGAATCAAAAAAATTTCAATTATTTATAGCTTCTTTAGACCCAAATTATAAATTACTAACCAATAAATTTGTTAAACAAATGATATATAAAGCTTATAATAATTCTTTAGATATACTTATTCAAAAACTTAATTTAGCTATTTCATGTTCTTTAACTTGTGATTTATGGACTTCTTATAATAGAGATGGATATTTAGATATAACATGTCACTGGATAGATAATAAATTTAAACTTAATGAAATTGTTCTTGGAATTTACAAATGTGAATATCCTCATATTAAAGAAACAATTAAATATATATTGAATAATATTATGAATGAATAGAAAATAGAATCTAAAGTAATTAGTGTTACAACTGATAATGTAACAAATTTTAAAAAAGCAATTGAATTATTAATTTAAAAATATATCATATTAATTATTCAGCACATACATTACAATTAGCGATTAGAAAAGGGTTGATGCTAGCAAAAAAATTAATAATAAAAATTAAACACCTTTTAGCTTTTTTTATTTCTCCAAAACAGTCAGAAAGATTAGAAATTGTACAAAAAGATTTTAAAAATTTCTTCTGATAAGATATTTATAATAAATAATAATTTTAAAATATTTTTTATTTTTATATAAAACTTTACTATTTCTATGATATTTTTCTTATAATTTTTGATTATATAAATATAACAAATATAATTAAATCTCTCTAAGTGCATTGCACTAGAACTAGACTTTTAGCAATATATATTAAGAGAATAATTAAGAAAAATGCATTTATAGAGATCAAATATATATGGGCCCAGAATTTAAAACTGCATTTAGAGAAAGATGCATTTAGAAAACATGCATTTAGAGAGAGTTAACTGTATATTATTAAATAAATTATAATTACTATAAATTACTATATATAAGTATATAAGATTGAAAACCTAAAAATTAATTATAGTAAATTATTAGGTTTTCACTTTCATATACTTATATAAAGTTATTATAATAGAAGTTTTATATATAGTGATTTATAGTAGTAAAAGTAGTTTTATATAAAAATAAATATTTTTTAATTTTAATTAAATAATTAAAATTTAAAATTTATTAATCTATAATTTTTAATTTTAGATAATTATAAATAATCATAAATATCTTAAAGTTATTTAAGACATTGAAACCAGATGGAACTCTTCA